ACAGAGAAAACCATGGATTTCCCCTTTTTATCAGAGAAAACATGGATTTGTCTCCTTTTAGCAGAGAAACCTACGGATTCCTTGCTTTTGCAAAGAGCTCTGCAGGCTGGTTGAGCTCCAGCCTGCAAAATCTGTTTGCAAACAGGACGGGAAACCCCCAGCCCTGCCTTGAGAAGGAAGGGGAGAAGGAAGGGCAGGGCCCGAGACTCTGTCAGCCACGGTTCTGCTCAGTTCAGCTTCACTCTTTGCTCCTGAAGCCTGAGGTAAGTGGGGCTTGCAGGGGTCTGGGAGCCTCTCTGGCAGGTCTAGGAGGTTGTGGGTCATGGCTGGGGGTAGCCAGGAGCCAGCCCCAGTCCTGCCTGAGCAGATAGCAGCAGTAGGGGAGCCGGCTCCATGCTGCTTCTGCTGCAGCTGCCTGCTGTTGGGGGCAGGGAGCTGTGATTTTTTGGCAGAGAATTTGTGTTTTTTTAATCAGAGAAAACCAGGATCCCTGCTAATGACACTTCATGTTGAAGAAACTTCTTCTGCATTGCTGCCTATTATTTTTGACCACAGGCTTCCAAAGCAAAGCTCCTACATATTTACCTGAACAAGTACGGGTTCAGGCCCTGCAGTAGCTTATCCCTCTAAAAGAGGGGTAGATTACCCTGGCTTAGCCTTTATTTACCATGTGAAAAATATGCAGCCAGGCACTTGGTGCACAGCAGATGATGTGCTGCAGGTCTCCCACCTTAGTTTATCTCACAGTAACTTGTGCCTATAGCTTTGTACATACACTAGTTCTTTTATAGGACTTTTGAGGACTTTAATTTTTCAATATAACATTCCAAGTAAAACCAACTTGAAAAATCCTTAACTTTCTTTCCTATTTGTACACTGTCTATTGGTTGCCTACTTGCACACACTGACGTCACGCAGTGAATACATCACGAGCACCAAAATGAAGCTTGTAGGTTAAGAAAATGCCTTGGATGTAAGTCTTGAAAAAGTATGTAAAGTTTACTGGATAGAAATACCTGAACAAGAGCTTTCAGTGCATTACTGTGGCAAAAGGGACAAGTGCAACTTTTGGATGTATTAAGGGTAGAAACAAGAACCCTGCCTATGCTACTGGAAAGACTGCAGCTAGAATACAAGCTTGATCTGCTGTCCATGCTTCAAGAAGGAAATAGTGAGGAAAGTTCATAGAAGGACATCAAACAATTCAGATGAAAAATTTGCTTTGTAAGGCAAGGCTCAAATAGGTCAGCTTATTGAAAGTGATTAAATCTGCACAGAAAGGAGATGAAGATACTTCTAAACTATGTGGGGAGTGACTCACTTGCTGGAATCATCTAGGCATATCTTGCTTAATTCCTTGCTACTACAGTGCCCCCCAGCAGTGTTTGCATCTTTTCTCTCCTGCTTTTTGCCTCCTGACATGCCTTTTAAGCTCCCAAAGTATTCTCGTCCTTGGGTTCAATACTCTTTTGGGGCTGAATGTTAGTATAGGTAAGAGGTAAGATTTTTTTTGTGGTATTTTATTAGATCTACTGTATAGTTAGGAGCGCTGTTGAACAAGCTTTCAGGTATCATGGGCACCTGTACACATGCAGAGAAACTGTTGTGATGCACTATAATCACAACACATGGGAGCATACTCAACTACCACACTCCAGCAAACTCCAGCTTCATGTGCATCAGCATCCCCATGCTAAAATATGGTGGTAAGGGCACTTTAACTGAAGCTTGAATGAGCTTTAGTAAAAGCACCACTGATGCCATTTTTCCTCAGGTCACCTGACCAGCTAGCTACCCAAATATTTCACTTTGATTTGAACTGATTAGTTGGGAGCAAGCCTCCTAATGTCTGCTTGTCTACAAAACTGCTAATTCAAAATCCTGGTTTGGTCCTCTGTGTTAAAACTAAGTTCTGAACAAACGGAACGGCCCATTTATTTCAACTGCAGTGAAATAAGAACACTTTTCAAGTACACACACAGGGCAGTCCCACAGAAATAAAATTAATAGATTTCTCAAACACAGAGATCTGGGATTCTATTCAGTAGCGCTCGAGGAAAAAAAATCAGATATAAACTCAGTTCTTTGCTTTTATTCAAGCATGAAACATGAGTAGGTGTGTGTTCTCTTACAGGCCTAACGATAGCATTGTGCAGGTAAGGATGAAGCAGTGATACAGGAGATGCCTAACATATTGACAAGTAGCTAGGAAGTCAAGTCATTTTAATAAAAAATACTTTTAACTCTTCAAAATTGACTAAATCTGGCTCATATTAAAAAAAAAAGAGACTGAGCTCTGGTTTCATTGACTTAAACTTTGTAAGTATGAGCAGGTAGAAATTTCACACTTTCCCCAGCACTCAAGTTATTTAATTTGTGGATTTCTTGCTACAAATTTGCCAGCCTTACAGTTTAGAAGGAAAAGGATTTCTTCTTAATCCAAGTAGTACCTGAATACAAAATCAATCACAATTGAAATGGCTACTCCACGGTGCAAAGGTAATAAAATGAACTCTAAGAACATAGAATATGCTTAATGTATTCCAGATGACCACAAAGCAATGTAATAACTGCTTTATTGGTTACAGTTAAACCCATTACAGTTAAATATTGATTCCAAACATGAAACCAGCCATTTTTTGTTAAGACAAGGTATTCTTGAAGAGTTTCACAGATCGGAATGGAGACAGGCTAGTTAAGGAGTCATCTTGTAAACTGGAATCATTTCTTCGGCATCCCAGCTACATACAGCTCGTAAACAGCGTACATTGTTCCTGAAGTGAAAGAAACATGATTAGAAAGTTTAGAGAGATAAGCAAGCCAATTTGCTTCAGGTTTGCCCTTATTTTGTAACTTGTTAATTGCAGTCTAGAGGCTGTTGGCTTCTCTAAGAGACATGACTAATATCTGCCATACTTAGTAGAGCTGTGCAAAGCTTCAGTCGCCAATTCAATTCAGAGGAGATTCAGCAGGGCAGCCAAATCTCCTAATCCAAATTGAAATCAGGAGACCCTTTAATCTCTCCAAATTGAATCGGATGCCTCTGAATCAATTTGGAGAGTTTTGATGATTTGGCCATAAACACAACTTGATATGTTTTTTCCAAGTACCTCAAGGTATGAGGCGTGGCTCATGAACGCTGAGATGGTGGGGTGGATGGAGTGTGGGAATCAGAATCAGGGATGGTGATCCAAAAATCAGCAAATTGGATCACTGTCCCCCAGATCTGAATCAAATACAACCCACTTTGCACACCCCTAATACTTAGTAGCAAATGTATATTAGCTACAAACGGCTATTTAGTCCTTCTTTTGAGCAATTCATGACAACTTAGAACTCCAAAATATGAAAAAGTAATTCCCTTCAGAATAAGAATCCATAACAAAAATAGATTCTATCCAGAAAAGGCAGTAAATACCAGAAGCATCACTCTTTGCAATAAAGGCCACAGTAAACAGCCAGAGTACAACAATGTGGTCCCACGCAGACATTTTGCTTCAGCTCTATATATCCCTGCTTAATTAAAAAACCCTCATCTTCCATGTGGGGGAGGGGTGGGGAGGGAACCCTAACCCTGCAAAGTATCCAGGTTCCTCTGTGTATATGCTCAACAGGAAAAGAGTGGTTTTCTATTAACAAAAATTAGAATGAATATAAAAGTTTAGTTTACATTTATTGGAAAGATGCTTAGCTTTGTTATGGCAGACAATTATAGAATCATAGAATCAAAAGATCAGGAGGGACCTGTAAGATCATTAAGTCCACCCCCTGCCATGGGCAGGAGGTTATTGGTCTCAAACGAGCTCAACGAGGTACTTGTCCATCCTCCTCTTAAACACCTCCAAGGATGGTGACTGCACCACCTCTGCTGGGAGCGTGTTCCAGATACCCTTATGGAAAAGAAGTTTTTCCTAATGTCCAACCTAAATTTTTCCTCAACTAGCTTGTGCCTGTTGGTCCACCCTGAGGGTGCCTTTCTGAAGAGTTGCTCCAAAAGATCTTGGTGTTCACCGGACATACTTACAGGCAGCTATCAAGATACCTCTTAGTCTTCTCTTGCTCAGACCGAACAAACCCAGTTCCCAGAGTCTCTCCTCATAGGGCTTATCCTCCAGGACCCTAATTATGTGGGCTGCCCTTCTCTGTACCCTTTCAAGCTAATCCACATCCTTCCTGAAGTGCGGTGCCCAGCACTGGACATAGTACTCCAGCTGTGGCCTCACCAATGCCAAATAGAGGGGGAGAAGTACCTCTCTGGATCTGTTTGCAACACATTGGCTGATACACGCCAGATTTCTATTTGCCCTGCTGGCGACTTCATCGCGCTGTTGGCTCCCAGTCATCTTCTGGTCGATTGTCACTCCCAGGTCCCTTTCAGATGCAGTGCCAGCCAGTGGACCACCACTCATCATATAGTTGTGGTGAAGGTTCTTACTACCCAGATGAAGGACCTGGCACTTGACCCTATTGAACCTCACCTGATTACATTCAGCCCATAGGACCAGCCTGTCAAGGTCCTCCTGGATCCTTATTCTATCCTCAGATGTGCCCACAGCATGGTGTCATCCGCAAACTTAGTCACTGCACTTTCCACCCTCTTATCCACAGTCATTGATGAAGATGTTAAAGAGCATGGGCCCAAGCACAAATCCCTGGGGGACACCACTGGAGATGGTCTAGGATGAGGCCATCCCATCAATTACAACTCTCTGAGATCAGCCTCTGAGCCAACTGGCAACCCACCTCACTGTAGACTGGTCTACGCCACCACCCTCCAGCTTAATTGAAAGGATCTCATGGGAAACAGTATTAAAGGCCTTGCTGAAGTCTAGAAATGTAGACTCAGTTGAAAGAGCTGCACAAGATTTACAACTGCCATCAAAGACAAACTTAAAATATACATCTTTTAAGAACTAAAACAAATTGCTTAATCAAAATTTAATATTAAGGCTTACCAAAAACTGTAATTGCCACTGTGGTCCTATACAGCAGATGATCCTTTACCCCACCCTTAAGATGTACTGGAAGTCCATCATCCTCCTAAGAGAAATAAAACCACAGCAGTAGAGTGGTGCACAAAAGCTGCTTTTACATTAAAGCTAGCCATATGTTTACACAATTTGTAGTTCATGCAATGGTAGGTCGTTAGTGCCTTAAATGCAATCGATTCTTTACAATTAGTTCTCTTTATTTCAGGAAGTCTTTCCTAGCCAGTATGCCACATCATACATATTTTTTAAACAATTAGTTATTCAAGACTCAACATAGTCCTTCAAGTTATTTTTGCAACCAAAAGTTGTCTCAACATCTTAACTTGTCTCAACGTTTAGGGCTCGGTGAACAACTGTTCACCATGGCACCCTTGGGGAAAATTAGGAGTAATGGTCACAAATACCTGGAAGATGGTTTCAGGCTTAGCATTAGGAAAAACTACTTCACAACTAGGGTGTCCAGACTGTGACCATTACTCCTAGGTTTCCCCAAGGGT